ATGCTGGCTGGGGGATTCTGGGAGTTGAAGTCCACAGGACTTCAAGTCACCAAGGTTGAGAAACACTGTTTTAAGGCTTTTAACAGGCTTTTAAGAAGGAACTGGACAGCCATTTGCCTGGAATGGCATAGCTATGCTGGCTGGGGGATTCTGGGAGTTGAAGTCCACAGGACTTCAAGTCACCAAGGTTGAGAAACACTGTTTTAAGGCTTTTAACAGGCTTTTAAGAAGGGACTGGACAGCCATTTGCCTGGAATGGCATAGCTATGCTGGCTGGGGGATTCTGGGAGTTGAAGTCCACAGGACTTCAAGTCACCAAGGTTGAGAAACACTGTTTTAAGGCTTTTAACAGGCTTTTAAGAAGGGACTGGACAGCCATTTGCCTGGAATGGCATAGCTATGCTGGCTGGGGGATTCTGGGAGTTGAAGTCCACAGGACTTAAAGTCGCCAAGGTTGAGAAACACTGTTTTAAGGCTTTTAACAGGCTTTTAAGAAGGGACTGGACAGCCATTTGCCTGGAATGGCATAGCTATGCTGGCTGGGGGATTCTGGGAGTTGAAGTCCACAGGACTTAAAGTCGCCAAGGTTGAGAAAGACTGCCTTAAAAGTTTCAGTTCAAACCTTAGGTTGAAGCACAGAGCACATTGAGCACCCTTTGGGGTCCATTGACGCTATTTCTATAAGGTTTTCTTTTTAAATTACATTCCACTTTCTTTCTCGCAAGAAATAAGGCAGAAATAACTTATCTTTTGAGAAGTGTTTTGTGGGCTCACATATTGGATCCAAGAAAATTAAGAAAATTAAGCCCAGAGATGGGCAGCATATGCATGAAATAACAAAAATCGTATGGCACCAATATATGAAGACCGGAGCTCAAAGAAGGCCTTCCAAAGGCTTAGTCTCCTCCTCCCGCCCCCCGCCCCATTCTGTTCCGCGGGAATTTCTTGAACTTACTTTGCTCTGAGGTTACTCAACTGGTTCCTCACCAGCTCTACATACTGGTCGATCTGTGCCTGAATGGATGGGGGGGAAGAGAAAGAGGGATCAGCCCTTCCAAAAATAACAACACGGAACCGGTTGTTGCTCTGCTCCCTCCTTCTACTTCTGAAAATCTGATACTCAGAGTCAGGCCACTGCAGCATCTTACCGTCACGCGAGAAAAATTCGGAAATTTAGCAACTGACTCTTATTTATGACCGTTGCAATACCCCTGGGTCATGTGATTCCACTTTTGCAACCTTCTGATGTGCAAAATTTATTTATTTATATTATTAAAATTTATATGCTGCCCAATCCCGAAGGACTCCGGGCGGCTTACAAAAGAAGAAAGAAAAAAAATAAGAAAAAGACAGTTTAAAAACACAAAACCACATGCATTCATTCTAATCGGGGCTGGACCTCAACATGAACCTTAATGGGGAGACCAGAGTCACTTAACGACCATGGGATTCACTTAACAACTGTGGCAAGAAAAGTTGTAAAATGGGACAATGCTCACTTAACATAGCAACAGGCATTTTCGGCTCACTTGTGGTTGTAACTCAAAGACTATCTACTCCACTTTCATATAGCAATAACAATAGCAATAGCAATAGCAATAGCAA